AGCAGAAAAGCTGTCTATGGCATCTGAAAGATGCCCAAATACTGCATATTGTCTGCATCTGGGGATATTTTTTAAAATAAGCTAACTCAGAGCTTCTTCCCTATAAATACTCATCCACATTCACTATTTTCAGACTCTAGGTAGTTGGAAGGTCCCCCTGGACAGTTATCATGCAAACCGCACCCAGAAGGCAGTCTTAGCATCCCACGATTGTCTTTCTCGTTGTCCTGCATGGATACCTGCAGGGTCCCCTTCTCATACTCCTCTGGGACTCTCTCCGATTGTTGTAATGTGACATCAGAGCACTTTTCCTGGTGTGTCTCTGTTTGGAGAAGAAGAGCAATCTTTGGTTGGCGTTTCAGGAGGTGTATAGAGTGGTCTAGGGTCATTCATGTTATCTGAAGTTTCCATATCTTAAGAAATAAACACTATAGTAGGATTACAAAAATTATGACTGTTAGCAATTCTTACAGTCAATAGATGATTCAACACAAAAACGTGTTGCAGTGAAATTCTATGGACGAGATATTTATAGAGTTTATAATGTTCTGCAGAGTGCTTGGCCCAATAAAGTGATAGAGATTTCAACTTATATTTTGGATGACTTCTTTCGAGTTTATCAGTGAATCTGTGTGATCTCGTGCACCTTGTTTGAGGATAATGTTGACTATCTACACATATTGCAGTACCTTAATTTTCTTAAATCCCAGACCTTGGGAGCTTTGGCCCTCTTGGTTCATTCGTGATAGGTTAAATTAGCAGCTTCTGGAGCACAGAAATGGGGTCTTTTACATAGTCGTTCTTTCCCTGTCCACAGAATTACATTTGGCAAATAGTCGGAGCTCAGTAAAAATGTGCTGAATTTCTCAAATACATATATTTTTGAATTTTGCAATCGTTTTTATTTTTTAATTTTTTTATTGTTATGTTAATCACCATATATTACATCATTAGTTTTTGGTGCAGTGTTCCATGATTCATTGTTTGTTCATAACACCCAGTGCTCCATGCAGAACGTGCCCTCCTCAATACCCATCACCAGGATAACCCATCCCCCTCCCCCTCCCCTCTAGAACCCTAAGTTTGTTTTTCAGAGTCCATCATCTCTCATGGTTCGTCTCCCCCTCTGACATACTCCCCTTTTCTTCCTCTCCTGTTATCTTCTTTTTCTTTTTTTCTTAAAATATGTTGCGTTATTTGTTTCAGAAGTACAGATCTGTGATTCAACAGTCTTTGCAATCGTTTTTAATGTGGGGATTATTTAACTAAAAGATTCTTTTATCCTGCAAAAAAATCTGCATATGGACTTGTTCTCTTCCTCTCTCCCTGGAAGCAGGAAGATGGTGGTTAAACCATCATGGGTACTATTGGGTTAAGTGGTGAGAGGAGATCCTCAAGGCTCAGTCACCCAGCCCTATGGAGGGAGACACGATCTTCAGGAAGATCACTGGCAAGGATCTCCAGCCAAAAGAATTTTTGAGGATGACTGATGTCTTGGTGTCCATGACATTTCCCCTCAAGTGTCAACATGTTTTCTGGTGATACCTAAGAGACAGATATCCCAGATACCTGTAGCAAAAGATCATGATGAAAGCCTTGGACAGTTAATGATTGTTGACGAGAAATGTGCTGCTGATATGGGCCTGGTTATGGAATGGCGGCGAATGAAAGTTGGGGGGGGGTCAATCCGTCTATCATGTTCATCTGCAAGTTTTTGGAGCTGGGCAGATGAATTGGCCTCCTGGTTTAGCATGCTGTAGGGATAATTTTCTATTCTCTTGGCAATGATCAAGTTTGCAACTTTCAATATGTTAGTACACTTACTTTTGTCTGTATATGGGGAGGTTGAAGAAATAACTTTTAAAAACCCTATATGTTATAAAAGACATTATTGTATAGCTTATAATAAAAACAAACAAAAAACAAAAGTAAAAACATGATCAAAGCCCAGACCACAAACTCGAAAACGCCAGAGATTTTTTTTTTCTGGCTAGGAAGTTTGATCATATTACTCCTTTGATCAAACTTGGTGATGGTTTTTTACTGCCCATAGAAAAATAAAATCGAAACCTGTTTGCACTGCATACTCACTTCCTTATGACTGTCCCTTTCCCTATCTCTTCTGCCACAATTCAGGATTATACTGTAAGACCTAAAATTTCAAGGGCTCCTTTGACATCTTTGAGTCTCACAAGAACCCCTAAACAGTCTTGTGAATTCACCTGTTCTCACAGGATATGCCCTATATCTGGCTAATTCCCCTCTCAACCAGACCAGGTACATCCCAGCCCCTCAACCTAATGGGTTCACCTCCCTGTTGGTCCTGGAAGCTATTAAAATAAGCCAATTCCATCTTTTGGAGGAAACCAGGGTCCCCCTTTTCTCTGTCTGCTATAAAGCTTACCTCCCACAGCTCTTGCTGGTCACTCTAGTCAGGAGTGCGACCTGAGCCAACTTGCGGGGCACGCGGTGCCCTCCCCCTCCAGGCTGTGAGTATATGTGCCGGTAAACAGCTACCCATCTCATCTGCCCAGTGTTGAGCACGGTGTGTCTGGCCATCTGGTATTGTTTAGGGCAGAGGATCCCTCCTTCACCTATAGGGTGAATGGGAGGTGATCAGATACAGCCCCTTTACCTTCCTCCTCCAATCCTCCTGCTCCATCTCCCTCACCTCCATGCTCGAGCACACTGAATGTTCTGTAGTTCTCTAGAAATCCTTAACTGTTATGCCTCCTTGTATGTATGTATGTATGTATTTATTTTTCTATCTATAAGCCTCTTCTTGGCTACCTGCCAACTTCTTACTCATTCTAGATTGGACTCCAAATCTGCCACCTTTCCCAAACTGGGCCATTGCCAGGGCAAAGGTAACGCAGCAAATCTGTTTTACTCAAGTTTTCACAGACGTCTGTAGCCATGGTGATGACCCTTGGTCAAACTCTGTGAACTAAAATACTGGAATGTTCACTTAGTTACTGGGTCATGATGCTATCCTGTGTACATGAAGCAGTGGGTCACTATGAACCAGGTTGTCAGCATATTTAAAGTAAACCACAGCCTTCACTGGTCCCTGCAAGTTCACGACAGGAGAGAAAGAATGTGGATCATCTCTGAAGATGGAGGACCAGAAAGACTTCTCTGGTGTTTGCTTGTGTATATCTTTTTCCTGCTGTGTCTGCACTTTTCCCTCTGCTGTAGTAAATCTTAACTTTGAGTATATGTTCATTTATGGGAGTCCTTCTAGCAATTCATCCAGTTACTGGGTGATCTTCATGGGGCTACCAGGAACAATCATTTTTCCTTATTCCCAACTGCATTTAGTGTATAATCTTTTAAAAGAAAGATCTTATTCTACTATACATTTTTGTTTGAAAGCTAGACTGTAGGCTACTTTTCTTAGGGCTTAGCACAGTATCTGACACATAAATATCTGAATAGGAATTTTTTCTGAGAGATATATAAAACATACACTTTTCAAAAATGAGCCTAGACAACAGTCCTGTTAGAGACTGTAAAGGAAGGTAGGCCGTAGAGACACATTTACCAGCAATGACCACATAAGTGGTTTTCTCAGGTCAGAGTTCAATCCTGGCCACCAAAACTTTGCACTCTGGCTCAAACTGTTACTTATTTCCTCCGAAGATTAAGACTCTCGAGTTGCAAAAGTTTGGCGCTAGGATGGCCCAGTAGATTTCTTGTCCATCGCTTTAGCCCCATGGCCACAACTACCTAACAGGTAGTGCTTTCTGAATTATGTATAGAAGGAAATTAAACTCCTTATCTGGACTTCCTTCCCTGCCCTCACCGCCACACTCAGCTTATTTTAGCGATTTCACGGCTTCACAGGACAATGAGACTGTCATGATAGCTGGTGGCAACAACAGCGCTACCACTTCGGCAGCCACCAGAAATAAAGCTTATTATGGGAAGACATATTAATGATAACTGAGTGTCCTTTACCGACGTTCTATTTATCTCTAGAGAATGTAAACTGTTCTACGTTTATTTTCTGGAAATAATTTAAGCTCCAGAATTAGACAAAACAAAACAAATCTGGCTCTATTTTCTTTCCATGTTGTGAAACATAATAATTTTAGCAAAATGGAAACCCTTAGCAGAGGATGGTTTCGATCCATCGACCTCTGGGTTATGGGCCCAGCACGCTTCCGCTGCGCCACTCTGCTCTACGCCAAAAGTTTCTCCTAATAATACTCTTAACCCTGTTCCGAGGCGATTCCTCCTCCTGGAAGAACCCGAACGAGGTCGTCCGTTGGCTTCCACCCCTTGGCTACCACAAGCTGCCAGTTCTTTTCGGAATAATATCGCTACCGGAATCAAAGAGAGAACAAAGTAGGCGTAGAGAAGGAAACATTAACACCCTGTTGAGATTTCGGACGCAGAAGCGAGAGGTGGCTGGATATATGAGGGAGAATGACAAGCTTTAATCAACAGGGAAGGAAGAGGAAAGCCGGGTAAGGAACGGGCTCCGCGCGGCGGGCGACCATGCCGCCTCACAGACACTAACCAGGCCCGCATTCGCCTTTGGGAAGAGCACCCTCCCGGGCTTGGTGATGGAGGTGCCGTCCGGCCGCGTGAGCCCGGGGCGGAGGCTCGCGGCGGGAAGGGCCGGTCCGCGGGCGCAGGAAGGTGGGGGGCGCCGCAGGCCAACGCAGAGGGCGGCGCGATCGCACAAGGCACGCCACGCAGCAGCAGACGGCCAGGGCAAAACGCTCCTTTCTTTAGTCTGACGCAGTTAAAAAGGTCCGATGTTCTCATGTGGGGACCCGGGACGCTCTAGCTGCCCCCGCGGAGGGCACGGTGGCGGAGGGGGAGGGGGAGAGTGTCCGCCGGGGCCCAGCCTCCCGTGACGTCGCCCAGCCCTCCGCGAGGGGCGGGGCCGGGCAGCGGCCGTTCCCGCGTGCGCGCTTCCAGTCTTCAACTAGGTCCGCAATCCGCACACATAAGGAGATTGCCCCAACGGTTTTCGTGCTTTTTTCGCGATCTCTTAGCGTTGCAGCAATGTCTGGTCGCGGCAAGGGCGGTAAGGGTCTGGGCAAGGGCGGCGCCAAGCGCCACCGTAAGGTGCTGCGCGACAACATCCAGGGCATCACCAAGCCCGCCATCCGGCGGCTGGCCCGGCGCGGCGGCGTCAAGCGCATCTCCGGCCTCATCTACGAGGAGACCCGCGGGGTGCTCAAGGTGTTCCTGGAGAACGTGATCCGGGACGCCGTCACCTACACGGAGCACGCCAAGCGCAAGACGGTCACGGCCATGGACGTGGTCTACGCGCTCAAGCGCCAGGGCCGCACCCTCTACGGCTTCGGGGGCTGAGCGCACCGGATCCCCCCGTATTTCCAAACACAAAAAGGCCCTTTTCAGGGCCACCCACTTGTCTCTTGAAAAGAGCTGTAGTTAGTCGTCGTTCTTTTTTAGCTCTTGACTCGTGTTGGAGTACTTAGTTTCTAAACGGGTTAAGAATGGTTAGTTGCTGTTCCGTGTGAGGCGCTTCTTTGATCGCTTTGTAACTCCGGGAGTTCACTTCATCGTCGGGCTGCGTCGTTGGTTTGCGGCATTCGGGTCTGTTTAAGCCGCGTCCTGAGCGTTTTTATAGCGGCAGAGCAGCTCATTGTTTTCCCCGGGAGCGTTCTCCGTCTTCGACTACTTCCGAGTTGGAGATAGTGCTCGCTCGGTTCTTGAACACTGGAGAGCAGGGACCCCCGGCCGGCAGGTAGCGGGTGAGCCTCCCCCGCCGGGCTCCAGTGCCCAAGATGGCGGGGCGGGCGAGGGACAAAGGGAGCGCGCCGGCGGCGGCGGGGCGGCCGGGGAACAAAGACGAGTTCCCGCGGAGCGGCCGGCCGCGCCCTTCCCGCCGGCTGGCCGCGCCCTTCCCGCCGGCTGCGTGGGCCGGACGGCACTGGGGGAAGTGCACTCGGTCCGAGACGTGGCAAGTGTTTAGTATAGCCCCCAAAATTTTCTGACAGTTTGAAAACCTCAAGTAGATAGGTACCTGATGAGTGGCATTTTTAAAACCTGTACCTACAGGCATCAGGATATTTCACCCCAAATTACTAAGTGTAGGGAAGGAAATAATCCTCTTCAAGGTCTTCCAGCTGGACTAAAAATTTACATGAGACATTGAACAGGAGAAAAAAATCCAAAGTTTTATTTCCTGCGTGAAGAGGCCCAATAATGAAATTGAGACACAAATGACTGAGGCAGGCAGTTTTTATACTTTTTAGAAGACAGTACATTTGTGAGGAATTGACAAGATTAAGAACGTGTAAATTAACCTTTAATATAACTTTTAATATTAAGGAAAATTTACTGCACTGACCGTATTTTTCTCACTTTTACAAAGAGTGGGAAAATAGAGAATAGAGGAAACTGGCATGGACTAATACTAGCCATAGAATGAGCATTTGGAAACTACTGATTTGTTCAGTATTTCAACATTGAAGAAAGTGAATCAGCTCAGCTAATCAGAGAGGGGGGCAGGGTTAAAGCAGATTTCCTGACTCTTTCCCCTATAATTATATCTGCTCACTTCCTGTTTTAACCCTTATATTCCATTATTATAAGTAATCCACACATGTTATTAATGGAATATTAAGTAATCTATAGGATGAAATTTCTACTTCACATTTTATATTCCAGCAAAGCATCCTATAAATTTTTTTTAAGGCAACCAACAAAGCAAATGTCAACCAATAGATGGATGAATTGTGACATAATCAGGCATAATCACACAATCTAACATTGCTACGAAAACAAATGAGCTTTAGCCCCATGTGACAACATGGCAACTCATTGTTCCCTGAAAAAAGCAATTCCCAGAAACTAGATGCAGTATAATACTGTGTTGATCCATTTAGGCTAATTATGCTGTGATAAACAATCACCAAATCCCAGCGACTTACTGTGATAAAGGTTTACGTTTTGCTCATAATGTTTATTGACTGTGGGTCATTTATTTGGTATAAAGATTTCTTATTTTGAGGTTATCTGAATTTTCTTTGAGCGTATAAATGATAGTTCTTTTATGAAGTGAGACTGATAGGAGTCTTCTAAGTTGTTGGCAATACCACAGCAATCTTTAGGGTGGCCCTAGATTTCCCTAGTCTGGGAATGATTGTGGATGGCAATTTTGTGATTCTCTTCTTGCTTTAAAAGTGCAGCTGCTTTTCTGAAGATGATTCTTCATTCTGGCCAGACACTACAGAGAGGTTAAGCAAAGAGAATTGGAGGCATGGGAACAAAACAGGAATAAAAAGCTCCTAAGAAGCTCTTGTGTGAATTTCCAGGGTCCCTTCCTTGTAGCCCAACTTACTATTAAATGAGGTACCCTTAGTACTAGTGAGACATGAAGAAGTCCCTGGAAAATGAGTCACATGTTGCTTGAATTGGCAGGCAGAGGCAGGGAAGTCACACAGCCTAGGTGGTCCTCAAAAGAGTTCAGGGTAAAGAGATGTTCTAAGGAGGGGTTTAGACTGTTAGAAGGGCGTTAGATTGCTCACACAGCCAGACAAGGAACCCTAACTCGTCTCACTTGCTGGTAGTCATTGTGGCCTACTGCCTCGTTCAAAGCCTCGAGACTCAGATTCTAATATGGGCAGGAACTTCCCTAACACTTGAACCAGAGGCTTTAGCTTCAGCTGATACTTTGGAAGACTTTCCTCTGTGTAGGTACTGTCCTAAATACTTTACTGTGTTCTTTTACTGATCATCCAGCTATGCCATGTGGTGGTTACTAATTATTATTAGCATTTTAGAGATAAGGAAATGCTCACCAAAGATTTAAGGAATTGGCCCAAATTTAGCATTGAAATAGGCCGTCAGGACTGTATCGTGTCCTAAGGGATTCCTCCTTAAGCCACACTTGTATATTTCTTTTCATGTATTGTTTTCGAATGTACTTAAGATTAGCTTTTTGGGGAACGAGAAACAAATGCCTTAATTACATGTGGGGCTTAGAGAATCGTCACAAGCTCCATTACAAAATTGAGTTACTTATGTAGGAAATGCTTGGGGTTCAGAGCCGATGGCCAAGAAAGAATTCTTGAGCCGTCTTTGGTGCAAAAAAGGTGGTTTTATTACAGCAGGGGCACAGGACCCCTGGGCAGGAAGAGCTGCACTTGGGAGCAGTGGCCCATTATATGCTTTCAAGTTGGGAGGGGGTTAGGGACAGCACAAGCCTTCAAGGCATTTTGGAAAGAAGGTTTTCAGGACCTTGAGGGAGCTAACTATTGTTAGGAAAAGGTCATTTATTACTACTTAGTAAAAACTCAGTCATGAGACTCTTCGGATGTGTATCAGTGGATCGTATGCTTGGAGGATGACTGTTAACAGATATCTTGGTGGGGGTAGAGCTAAAGGAAGGTTCCAAGGGAATTTTTATATGTTAAAGTAGACTTACAGGATCCTGGGGGGTTGGGACACTGTTAGGCTAAGATTGCCTTCCACCCTTAGCAAAGTGTCCACATCAAGGCAGCTGAGCTCCCAGAGGAAGGGCACTCTTCCTGTTTCAAGGACTTGTCAATGGGATGTGAGAAGTAAGGAAATTTAATTTTTTCTTTTGCCTTTGCTTCCCACATCACTTAATGTGCACAGAAATCTACTGTGTGGGTATTTGCAGATGAAGACAGGAAGCTAATAGGTAGAAAATGAGATTTCCGAGCTCAGTTTCACACTGCCAATGCTCATGGTTTTCCCTCTAGAGCACAGCGCTCAGAAAAGTTAAATTTGCTGTCTGGTAATCCTTAGCTTCCATATTTTGCTATATACTTTGGCTGGTTTAAGAACTGTGCTGTGCATCAAAGAACAAGTGTTATCTCCTGGTCAGTTTTACTTTCATTTTATTCTAATGCTCAATTTTCCCTCTGAGCCTGTTACCCCATTCCTATGATTGCAGCTGGCATCTATAGCTTGAGAAAAATAGTGTGGAAACAGTCCTTAGGGATTCAGATCCCACTTTTATTTATTTAAGGGGCGACTTAACCTTAATTCCTCAGGTCATTCACTTGTAAAATGGGAGATTCCATTTGGTATGATTGTGATTGTAGGCTGAAATCAGGCGAAGGACAAGCACACGAATGTTAATTCCTTTTATCCTCTCCTTTAAAATAAAATCCCAGGGAATGAAGATGTGACTGAGGACAAGATCATTCAGGACACGGAGAAGTTTAGAGTTAGGGACTCTTTGGGGCTGAAGAGTGGAGGCTGACAGATTGAGGCAGAAGCCAATCTCCACGCCCCTCCCCCCCCGCAAGGAATCACAGATGGGAGACTTTCACTTGCTTCCTCCCGCTTCAGGTTATCCAGTTGTAGAGTGTCTCTTAAACCCTTGTATATTAAGCCCGGTAGAATAAACTAGTGGACGAGTTCCCTGACCTTGTCAAAAGTATTTACGTTAAAAATGTGCGGTGAAAAACCTAATGGAATTGGAAGGACGTCGGGTGTGAGACCGGCAGAGACCCGCTGTGGTTTAGAAATGCAAGTTGCACAGTACATTGTTCCATTAGATGACACTGTAGCCTCTCGCAAGCTCAAAGCAAGTTAAAAAAAAAAAAAGTACTTTCATTTTTCTGAAGAACGCTTACTCCTCTCACTTGTTTTAACTTAAGGCTACTCGAACCCAGGACTGTTTTCCCTGTTACTCCCGATCCAGCCTAATGGGAGGACAAAAAACTGGAAAATGAAAGCTCTCGAGGTGGGGACACTAAACATATTGCTCTCAGTAGCTGAGTAGCGAAGCCGAATGGACTAGTCCCAATTGCTTAGATTCATTTCTTGGTGATTCTCATTCCAGGGGGCAACTTCTGCCCCCGGGATTTTATTAGTCCTCGAATGTTAGAATGGATGTTCCTGCCATTTTCTCTAAGCTTGTAAAAGCTACGGCTCTTTAAGTGACGATGTGGGTGGCTCTTAAAAGAGCCTGATGTCGCTGGTGCCATAGCAAATTAAGTTTACTTAGAGCTGGTGTACTTGGTGACGGCCTTGGTGCCCTCGGACACGGCGTGCTTGGCCAGCTCCCCAGGCAGCAACAGGCGCACGGCCGTCTGGATCTCCCGGGACGTGATGGTCGAGCGCTTGTTGTAATGCGCCAGGCGGGACGCCTCGCCCGCGATGCGCTCGAAGATGTCGTTGACGAACGAGTTCATGATGCCCATGGCCTTAGACGAGATGCCGGTGTCGGGGTGCACCTGCTTCAGCACCTTGTACACGTACACCGAGTAGCTCTCCTTGCGGCTGCGCTTGCGCTTCTTGCCGTCCTTCTTCTGCGCCTTGGTCACCGCCTTCTTGGAGCCCTTCTTCGGGGCCGGGGCGGACTTAGCTGGTTCAGGCATTGGACTGAGCGTACAGCGGTTAAACAAAACGGAAGATATACGCCCACCAGCCAGCGCCCTCCTATTTATTTAGTGTGTATGCAAATTAGGGATAGCAGAATTCCGATTCTGATTGGTCGCCTCAGTATCTTAACCTCTGATAGGCTCCTTGGTTATCCTAAGCTCTCATTGGCTCTTTTCCGCTTTAAATAATTTGACCTTGCAACCGTAAACGCCCTATGCAAATTAGGAGCATTTTTGTTTGGGATATGTCTTTTGATTGGCTAGAATTTGTGTTCGGCCAACGGCATAGGCTGCTTTTCCAAACCGCTGCAGAGTACAATAGTGTAGCTTCTTGGCTTGTGGAGAGCTCGATTCTTTCCTCTTTTTGTTGCGTTATAACTGTCCTAGTTATGTCGGGACGCGGCAAGCAAGGCGGAAAGGCTCGCGCCAAGGCCAAGACGCGCTCGTCGCGGGCCGGCCTGCAGTTCCCGGTGGGCCGCGTCCACCGCCTGCTCCGCAAGGGCAACTACGCCGAGCGGGTCGGGGCCGGCGCGCCCGTGTACCTGGCGGCCGTGCTCGAGTACCTGACGGCCGAGATCCTGGAGCTGGCGGGCAACGCGGCGCGCGACAACAAGAAGACGCGCATCATCCCGCGCCACCTGCAGCTGGCCATCCGCAACGACGAGGAGCTCAACAAGCTGCTGGGCCGCGTCACCATCGCGCAGGGCGGCGTCCTGCCCAACATCCAGGCCGTGCTGCTGCCCAAGAAGACCGAGAGCCACCACAAGGCCAAGGGCAAGTGAGCCTACTTGGATACCAGTGTATCCAGTTAAAACCTTTTTCCTCACCCAAAGGCTCTTTTCAGAGCCGTCCACATTTTCACGCAAAAAAGCTCGTAACTGAATAAGTCCTGCTTTCCTATTACATAAGCCTTAAACGGTTTGTCTGGTTAGTAAAACAGTTCACTTACTGCAATTCATCTTGGCTGTTTAACGTCACTTTGAAGGTGGCCCGGGGAAACGACTTATACAGAGGAGACCTTAGTATGGTAAGCAAGGGTTTAGGATAGGTGAGACCTAGTTACAGTAATGGTAATGTTTACAAAACCTGTTTCTAGATGGACAGGTTCGTTCTGTTGACCCTCAATTGTGTTTAGGAAGTAAAAACAGTACGGAAAACAAAAGGGGGTTTAGTTAACTGAACTGCTGTGGAAGGGGTGGTAGCCTGGAATGCCTGAGGACATTACAAGCAGAACTATAGGACCGGAAATCCGCGCGGGTTGTTTCAAAGCTGAATTGAATGAATCATAATACTATTTGGCCACCATAAGGAGGTCAATCACCCTTTGTTGCATAGTGGTGATCGCCCGCGGTCTCCCGGCCAGGCGTTTCACCTGTCGTTTCCCAGAGTGGAGATAGGGGGCAGTCCAGGCGACTCTCAAGGTCCAGTTCAGTGAAAGTAACCATCTGAGAAAACAAAATGCACGTAAGTTCTGAAAGCCTGACCGTCGGAATCTCAGGCCCCATTACGTAGGTCTCCAGAATTGGCATCTTCTCCGATCCCCGGGTGATTTCTTTAGAATTTGAGATGAGTTGAAGCAGAATATTAAGTTCTTGCATCTCTGACTACAACAAAGACGGGATTGGAATGTTGACTAATTCATCCAATCGGAGTCTGTAACAATCCACCAATCATGTCGTTCGCTCTTTAGCCAATGGTTTTATTGCGCGGGACTTTTGAAAAATGCAAGACCAATCAGAAGGTTTCTGAGTATATATAAAGGCAACGTTTTCAGGCTTACTCGTCAGCTTAGCTTTTTTCCTTAACTTTCTTTGAAATGGCTCGCACGAAGCAGACGGCCCGCAAGTCGACCGGCGGCAAGGCCCCGCGCAAGCAGCTGGCCACCAAGGCGGCCCGCAAGAGCGCGCCGGCCACCGGCGGCGTCAAGAAGCCGCACCGCTACCGGCCCGGCACGGTGGCCCTGCGCGAGATCCGGCGCTACCAGAAGTCCACCGAGCTGCTGATCCGCAAGCTGCCCTTCCAGCGGCTGGTGCGCGAGATCGCGCAGGACTTCAAGACCGACCTGCGCTTCCAGAGCTCGGCCGTGATGGCCCTGCAGGAGGCGTGCGAGGCCTACCTGGTGGGGCTCTTCGAGGACACCAACCTGTGCGCCATCCACGCCAAGCGCGTCACCATCATGCCCAAGGACATCCAGCTGGCGCGCCGCATCCGCGGGGAGAGGGCATAAAGCTTTCCCACCACTGGCTCAATTAACTCAAAAGGCTCTTCTAAGAGCCACCCACTTTTTCCCTAAAATTGCTGTAATCAACAGCCGTCTTAAGGTATTAGTGCTTTTTTAAGATGGTTTAAGTTGGTTCCCGATTTTTTAGGTGAGTTTTTCAAGGTACTAAGGTTAGTGGGCCGCGTTTGGTTCCAGGATTGTGGGCCTTTACCGAGCTTTCAGCTGTGTCCTAAGTCTTACCCTTAACAGCTTGAGTTGGAGGAGATAAGCAGAAGTCGCCTGAAGATAGTAACCTCCGGCTCGGAAGTAACAGTATGTAAGTACCTTCAGGCAGTCTGAGAGGCGCTTTGACCTGGGAAGGGAATGAGCCACTTTGAGGTGGCTTGCTAGTGCAGGTAATTCTAAGGTTATGTGGGCACAGGTAGAAGGTGAGGTTCTTTATCCACAAGTTTGAACTTGGGTAAAGGTGGCTGAGCATTTGCTATTTATCTCTGGTAAGTTCCCACAAATTTGGGCAATGTCTGAAACCTCAATTTGCGCACTAACCATCTCTATAGTTAAAAGTGAAAGTTTGGGCTTTTCTATAAACCAACCTTTTACACAAGAATGCAGGCTGATGGTTGACTGAATAATTAGTCAGGATTTCTAATGAGCTTTACTGGTAGAGCCTAAGACAGTCATGATGGCTTCTGCGGTCTTTGACTCGTAAAGTGTCTACCCACCAGTGGCTTGGACATCACTTGGGAGCTTGCTAGAGATGAAGATTGTCAGACTCCACCCAGGCCTAGTCAGAATCTACATTGTACCAACTTCACCCCAGGAAGTTAGTGGTTGACACAACTAGTTTTAAGAAGCCCGTTTAAAAAATATTTTTGGCCTCATCAAGAAAGCAACCTGTGAACTCTCACAGGAATAAACATTTGTAAACTGCATGTTTATGTCATAGAATTAAATGTTCTCTAAATCAATTGCACATAAGAAGAACCTGGGAAGATAGTTTAATAGAAATCAGTGATCTCAATATTGAGTGCACATTACAGACCATTGGATGTTTTATAAAAAATATCTTTGCCTGGGGTCCAATCAGTAGCATTTAAATTGTAGTTTGTGGGAGTGGGCCCAGGCAATAGTAATTATTAAAACTCAGGTGCTTCCAAAAGGTCGCTAGGGTTGAGAACAGATGCTACATAAATACCAGTCTTGTGATTAGCTCCTGTTTGATTTGACTCCAGGTTTAGCAAGGATTTATCTACAGAATCAGGCTTCCTTGTAGCTTGCTTTGATTAGAATGTCCTGCTCTCCAAGAGAGGATTTTTGGCTTGCTCGAGGACTGTTAATCGCTGCAATGAATCAAGCAGCATCTGGCTTTTGTAGCAATTTCTGAGGATGGGGCTCATGTGAGTCTATGATGAGAGATGGACCTGCTTTGGGTGATTGACAATGCCAGGTTTTAAGGGATGCTACAAAGAGGAACCTTCTGGGCTTCTTGGCAGACAAACTGTGGAGACCTGCCTATCTTCCCATGGGCACAAAGTCCTGTTTGGGTATTCACCTGGTTTTTCTCCATGGCCATTATTTATTATAAATAAATAATAATCTTTTTTTTCTAGCTATTCATTTTTTTAACTTTTTAAATTATGTGACATTTGAGAATATATGAAAGTAGAAATATTAGTTTCATAAACTCTATGTACCCTGCACCCAGCTTCCACATCATCACTAGCCAAATAGGTTTTATCCATTTCTCGTCCACCCCACTGCCTTGATCATTGTAAAGAAAATGGTATCATTTTCGCTTTCAATATTTTAAAACATGTCCGCCATTTAAAAGCCTAATTATGATGCCGTGACGATTCCCCCCAACAAACATGTCTTAACATGGGTGAATTTAAAAATTGTATTTACTCCATATATATTTTTGAGAGTTTGCAATGAGCTAGATGCTGTTCTGTGCATTGGGAATATACTCAGAGAGCCACCCTGACAGAATTCTTGGCCCTTGTGGAGTCTACATGTGAGTGGACGAGGGACAGACAATAAATCAGATAGATACATGTGGTATGTTAAAGGGTAAGAAGGAGAAAAATAGAGCTAGAATAAGGAGTGTCATGGGGAGTTGAGATTTTTAGATAAGGCCACTAGGAAGACACTGCAATGGGCGGGGCACAGTTGCAGGAACTGAAGGCAGAGAAACAAAGAGAAGCCGGATCAAGTAGGGGCTTGTAGACGTTAGCTCTGAGATGTAAGGCCTTGAAAGGACTTGGACATGGGAACTTCCGTGTGTTTCTTATATTAGCAGGTTCTGCTTTATATTTAGGTAGTCTCCATTGGGCTCCAGTACAAAAATTAGGGTCCAGTTTTCTTCCTGTTTTGTGCTATCCAGACTTTGAAAATAGAAGCTGACCTTTAGCCTTTATAGTTAGAAAAGAGAAAATCTCTGAAAGTTAGGGGTTAAATGCAATTCATATCCCAGTACTTCAAATTCACTAGTTTTTCTGTTTTGTTTTGTTTTTGCCAGAGGCAAAATGTTTACCCTCAGGTAACACACTCCATTTATTTGGATTGCAAATTCAGGATTACAAATGCGAATGTCTTCAGGGTGTAGGCAAGAGGTTCTTCTGTCTGTACTTCACTGGGTCTGTCAGCAGCAGTGTTTCTGGCGGAATCTAAGCCCTCCCATGGCCAGCTGCAGGCTCTGGGTAGCAGCTCCATGTCTGTTATGTCATTTGCCCAAGAGAGGTGTTAACGACACCTGCCGTGGGAATCGTGTAGGTAAAAGAGCCGTGACTTCATTAGTTCAAAAGTGTAATTTGGTGCCCCCACACATCATTTTATTTAATCCACACAATAACTCTATGGCTTAGAGACCCTGAGTAGCCCAAATACAATGCTGAAGAAACGGAAGCATAGTGAGGTGAACTACTTCACACAGGGGCTCATTTGAATAATTCAGTCGTGGGCTTTATCTCTGGTGCTAAAGAATGGAGGGCCTTTGTGTGTTACCTGCATAATTTAATTTTACTTTATCCATCCATCCATCCAAAACTTTTTGAGCGCTTACTATGTGCCCTGCATTGTTCTAGGTGCCGGAAATAGAGCAGGGACGTCCATGGGGAAAATTCCCTGTGTAGAGCTCACAGATATTCTGGTTGTGGGAAACAGGAAATAAAAACAGTATTTTTGTAGGTAAAGAGATTAAAGAGATTAAGAAATCAGGCCAAGAAGATTAAGGACTGCCAGGGAGTGGGAGCAATGGGTGGTGGAGGGTTGTTTTAAATGTGTGTGTGGGGGGAACTTCACTACTTAGATGCCACTGAGCAGAGGTAGGACGCCTGGGAGGGAGACAGGTCTGCACACACCTGTGAGAAGATCATTCCACAGAGAAGCTACAGTGATGACTGAACAGATCCTAAGTTGGGAGCAAACTCAGGGTCATGGCCACAGGTCTGATAACCAACTAGTTAGAACCAGGGTCTTCTGTTTTCTCAAGCTGGAGTTTCTAGGTAAATTCAGTATTGATTCACATGTTTTTAATATTTTTTAAAAGTATGAGTCCAGGTTCCTGAGCATACCCAATTTGGATGGTGATCCAAGAGGAAAAGGCAGGAACAGATGAGTGTTAATCTCATGGAGGACTGCCAGCCTGATTCAAGGACACCAGTAGTTGAGGACAGTGTATAAATTATGTGGTAATTTATTTAAAATAAAAAGTAAGAGATCTGAGGTTCTAAATAATCGCTGTCATCATTTTTCAGAAGAAAGAGTACGTCAACAGAGTGGTTCTGCTTAATGCCTAAGGTCATCCAGCTGGTAAACGATGAAACAAATTTCAGCCCAAGTAGTGGGCCTCAAATCCCTTCAATTTTAAGCATATTTTATTGCTGTTCTGTAGTTGTGTACATTATTTCTTCTATGAAATAATATTTCATGTCCTAGATAACAGAGAACATGCCTGGTTCACCTTTGTGCTTCGATTGAATGATACATCCAGTTGGGTGAGGTAGGCATTTCAGACATGGAAGGCTTTGAGGAACATATCAGGGTATCTCGAAATGAGAGAACAGAGCTTTTTTGCACAAAAGGCAAGACTGACTTTTATAGAGGTTCAGCTCATAAAGAATGCATTGAGAAAAGGAGTTGAATGAGTTGAGAAAATCCACCAAGATAAAAGACAGCATAAAAGCCAGAACTGAGGCAGGTAAGACTTGAACTTGTATACCAGATGGTCAGACCTGGAATGTACATTAAAACCAGTGGGCTGTCACTGGATTCCAAACCCAGCCTGACCTTATTCACAGGCCGTGAGTCTGACCATGGAGGCCATCCTCCACTTTCCAATGTGTTTTCTTCATCTCCCAAGCCTTGCGCTGATTGCACCTAGCTTGATTGGGATTCCCAATAGTGTTGAGCCCTGTTCATCTGAAGTGGAAAATGTGATTCTAACTAGAGTTGTATCATTTTATCTTCTTCTCAACTGAAGCAAGTATTGCCAATATTTATAATTCAGTTGTGTTGCACCAGGAAGCTCCAGGGTCCTCCTGTAGATGTAAGAAATCATCAGTTTCCCTCTTGTCTTATTTATAATATTTATAATTTATAATTACCTACTTAAGTAGGAATTACCTACTTATATGAGCTGTGGCAGGGGCTGCTACACAGTTGTCCCCTGAAACGGGTTTTCCTTTTGAGGCACATGGCCTCCCGTGTAGGCTGACAGTGACTTCCCAAGAGGCCATACCTTTTATGTGGGTGTTGTCTGCAGAGCGCAGATGCGGCTAACGTAGAAGTCACCAATGGGTGGATGATTTAAGACTACATAAATACTGAGTACCTCATCAATATTTGGTGTCTCACAAATATTTGGCACTTCTTGGTCCTTTCCTCTCTTCCTATCTCCGTGTAGCACATGAACTCTCCTTCCTTTTCCATGTGTAACATGTCTTCCAGGCAACTACTTTATGATTTTTAGTAAATACAGCTTTTGAATTATGTCTGTATCTCATAAAATTCCTTGCTTACCTATTTAACACTTCTTAGAAGTTTCTTACTTAGGAGTCACCTACTTAACATTTTTATGAGGTTTTATCCATCAATTTGTTGGTCTTGTCTTGGTCCTCCATGGCAGAATTTAATAGCGGAATGTTCTCAAATACTAGAGCGAACACACCTTACACACAGAGGTAGAGGAGTTCCCTCAGGAGAGTGGGGCCCCATTCCAAGCCTGAGCTACATATCTGTACATGAGAAATCGACTTTTATCTAGTTTATCAGTGACTACTTTAGGTCGTCGGTCACTTCCAAGGATATCTAATACTAATAGGTGTACATAAAAGACACTCCTTAAGAGGATTAATGGACCCGATTTGCTGTGCTAGCATTCCTTTCTGCATTTCAGTAAGATCAGATCCTCTATTTTAGTAAAGCACAGCACTAGGACTTCTACAAAATCCCCGTGAACCAAAGATGTGACATGGCTAGATGAAAGTATAACTACATAGCCCCGGTTGTTAACTATAGTCCATAAATACAAATTCTGGGTGTCTTTTTCTGCACATCAATTCTTCTCTCCCTCTTGCGGTCTCCCCTTTCCTTATCATTGTCTCTTACTCCACCTTCCTTCCAGAAGTGCTTTTCAAGATTAAATCCTTTCAGCTTTGGCAATAGAAAGAGGCCTACCCCTTTTGGCCTGTGCCGTTACTTCTCCGCCTTTTGGCTCAGATCGAGTGTAAACGTCCATTCTAGACTGGGAGCCCTGTGAGGTTAAGGATTGCTTCTAGCCTGCTCACTGACCTTTCCCAATTACCTGTCACTTTCTGAAACTTAAGAAGCTCTCAATACATGAGCCAATAGACCCACTCCTAGTCCTTCGACTCAACAGGTCATTTAGGGAAGAATTTGATCTATGATCCTAGAATACTCCGCACGAACCACCACCCTCCCTGCCCCACACTCCATGCCCCAACAGGGAAGTGCCTAGAAGGGGGGACTTCTCAAAAGTGAGAACATAACTGAAGTACTGTGGTTGAGATTAATCTCAAGGTATTCTGTAACTCTATAACTGACACTGTATTGTTAAATGATTCCTATCAAGCCTCTTAAGGGAAGACTACCCAAGCCTGGCTTCTGTGCTGGCTGCTGAAGACATTTCCCCAACTAAGAGAGAGCCTTGCTCTCAGGCTGCTTGCTGCTGCTTTCCCCTTCTCCTTCCTCTTATAAATCCTGTTTAACCTTTCTTCAAAGAAGCCGGAATGCCTCTGTTACTTGCAGAATAAATAGCTACAGTCGAGTGAGTTATTCTTCAAAAGATATCTTTTCTTTTCAGTCGTCTCCCCCTCCACCCCCTTCCATTTACTAGAAAATTATTTTCTCACGCTATCAGGTAGACAGTATCCTATTGTTTTCCACTAAAACAAGTCTCACACAGCCCCACCAAGCACAGTACGCTCTCTAGACAAGCTTATCTATAAAGGATGCCCAGGATGTATTCAACTCTCGTCCGGACAATTCAATTTCTCAGCTACAAGTCCTGGAGAAAGTTCTGGTCCAGATGAATTTCATTTTCTGAAATCCTAAACCAAAAGGTCAGCACCTAAAACTGCCTTCCCAGTTTTCAAACAAGTGTTCTTGCTTTGCACTTGCTAGTCTTCTCTGTTCCAGTAAAACAGGCTACTGAGAAAACAAGGATGGGAACGTAACGATGAAGGAGATAGGCGTTGTAACTCTGGCACAGGTTCTCCCTAATATTAAAAAGGTTCAGTATTAAAGCTCTTTATGTGAAAGAGTGAGTGGCTCTGAAAAGAGCCTTTGGGTTAGATTAGCTGAAGACGCTTACTTGTCAAGTTCACTTGGAGCTGGTGTACTTGGTGACGGCCTTGGTGCCCTCGGACACGGCGTGCTTGGCCAGCTCCCCGGGCAGCAGCAGGCGCACGGCCGTCTGGATCTCCCGGGACGTGATGGTCGAGCGCTTGTTGTAATGCGCCAGGCGGGACGCCTCGCCCGCGATGCGCTCGAAGATGTCGTTGACGAACGAGTTCATGATGCCCATGGCCTTGGACGAGATGCCGGTGTCGGGGTGCACCTGCTTCAGCACCTTGTACACGTACACCGAGTAGCTCTCCTTGCGGCTGCGCTTGCGCTTCTTGCCGTCCTTCTTCTGCGCCTTGGTCACCGCCTTCTTGGAGCCCTTCTTCGGGGCCGGAGCCGACTTGGCGGGCTCGGGCATGGTGATGTTCGGACACGGAACCCTAACAGAGTGAAAGCTGAGCGCAGGGTTGGCCTACTTTTATATGGCTTGTATGCAAATAGCGGCTTAATCTGTCTTAATGCCTGATTGGAGCAAATCAGCCAGTAGAAACATTTTATGCAAATCAGGAGACTTCAAATCTACTTTTTGATTGGCTGTTTATGTGGCAACAACTCCAGATTCTTTTCTCCGTCAGAAAAAAGTATTTTCAAACTGCAAAAGTTTAATGTCTCGTCAGTAGTACCTGTTTATGAGCCTTGCGTCTTCCTAGATCCCCCCCTAAAGAGACAAAACCTATGCAAATTTATGATCCTGTTTTCCTGCCAAATTGCAGTTACCCGGATACTAAATGAAGGAAAGAGAACACAAAAATTAGCTAAATATTTAAATGTTTTCAAAATTATGCCATGGCATTCCCAGTTTGATCAAAGTCGGCAAAATTTAAGCTTTCAGAATCAGAGGATCGTCACATTTAAACAGCGGTGCGATTTTTATGTTCCCTAAAAACGGTGTCTGTAAGTGTTGTCTGTGTTTGTTAACTGTGTTCCGAGTTACGGAATAGGGTGTTCCCATTGCTAAAATAAAACGTTGCTTCAAAGTCAGAAGCTTTGAGAAATGATAAAGGACGAAACTGGACTGGGTCAATCACGTCCAAGAACAGAGCTTCTGACCTGTAAATTTTCATTTTCATCTCTTCCCAAATTTAATCCCCAAAGAAGGTGATTAAAACAAAACCAGTTAAGGAACTGTAAAACAAAATACAGGCTGGGTAATGGACGCAGAATTATATCTGAGAAGATGTCTTTCAACATCAGACTTTCTCAAGTGAGTCCCGGTAGCCAATCACAAGGCCCATCAAGTTACTTAATTCACGGCGCGGAATTTGAAGATTCGGACCAATCAGGAGGACGTTGCCTTTATAAATAAGACCCGGAGCAAAAGCATTACCAGTTGTAAACCGTGCTTGCAACATCTCGTCATGGCTCGCACGAAGCAGACGGCCCGCAAGTCGACCGGCGGCAAGGCCCCGCGCAAGCAGCTGGCCACCAAGGCGGCCCGCAAGAGCGCGCCGGCCACCGGCGGCGTCAAGAAGCCGCACCGCTACCGGCCCGGCACGGTGGCCCTGCGCGAGATCCGGCGCTACCAGAAGTCCACCGAGCTGCTGATCCGCAAGCTGCCCTTCCAGCGGCTGGTGCGCGAGATCGCGCAGGACTTCAAGACCGACCTGCGCTTCCAGAGCTCGGCCGTGATGGCCCTGCAGGAGGCGTGCGAGGCCTACCTGGTGGGGCTCTTCGAGGACACCAACCTGTGCGCCATCCACGCCAAGCGCGTCACCATCATGCCCAAGGACATCCAGCTGGCGCGCCGCATCCGCGGGGAGAGGGCGTAAGTTCTCACGAAGGAACGCAAACTATCAACCCAAAGGCTCTTTTCAGAGCCACCTACAGTTTGCTTGAAGAGCTGTGCCGCAACAGGACAGAATCTCCGCACTCCCCGTATCCCCCTTGTCACCGCTAGTGTCAGGGGCGGTGCCAGTGCGCGTTCGCGGGCTGCCCACCTCGCGACTCCGGCCTCCGCCGGAACACTAGCCAAACCTCGCGATCCTTCCCTTGACAACCGGTGTGAATCAGGCCGATTGCGCTGCGTTCCCCAGCAGAGGGTGTAATTAGACAAGTCTTGGCTTTTTCTTGGAGCCGTCCATATAGTTGAGTGTATTTAAAGTGGCTCATAAAACCACCGTGGACCTGGGTACTTTCAGCTGAACTACAAAATAATGTAGCGAGGGGCGCCTGGGTGGCTCAGTTGGTTAAGCGACTGCCTTCGGCTCAGGTCATGATCCTGGAGTCCCGGGATCGAGTCCCACATCTGGCTCCCTGCTCGGCAGGGAGTCTGCTTCTCCCTCTGATCGTCCCCCCTCTCATGTGTTCTCTCTATCTCATTCTCTCTCAAATAAATAAATAAATAAAATATTAAAAAAAAATAATAATGTAGCGACAAGTTACAACATCCAGTCCTGAAAACAATGGCTCCCGGTTTGGGAAATCTACGGAGCGTGCTGTCAAAACCCGACCCACAGCTAGCCAGGGCCTCTCTACAAGGGCAGCAGTTCATGATACATTCAGCCGGCCATATTAATATGTAATTAAGACTGCAACTTCCCAGGAATCCAGGCATGGATTTCCACATTTCATTCTGATAGGAGAAAGGACGGGTCCTTGAGCAACCTGGAAAGCATCCTAGGGGGTTTACCATGTTTGGTGGGTCATGCGCACACCGGTGTTCAAGACCCCACGCGGAGTGGTGCATGAGAGCAGTTTGGTGGCCATCCATTTCTTTCTTGACTGAGCAATACGTCCTATAGTTATACAGTACTCAACTTTTCTGTCCTGGGTTCCACAGAATTTGAGACCCAGCTTGGAGGGGTACTAGCAGCAGCCTGTCTGGTACAGCTGGGCAGGGCACCACTACCAAACGTGGGGCCTGGAGTAATAGCTGAGTATATGCACACCAGGAATTCAGAGCTTGTAGCTGCTCATAACTAAAAAGTCAAGATTGTGCAGAATGTGTCTGCACTGTCCTTGTGTGAGAAACATGATGTAGTTAGTCATTAAGGCAGAACCCAGCCCTTGCACAGGTGGTGGTGCATAACCCGTTATTAATCCTCAGAGAACCAAGGAGGCAACAGTTCCCAACGTTTCCTCCAACAAATTCAGAATCCTGTGACAAACCCTAGAGCCATGGAGGATTTGTCCATCAGTCAGGTTTCACAGACATTAGTTGTGGGAACGCCTAGCCTCATCCCGGGTTTATCCCTCGCTGTGGGAATTACCAAACACTGGAGGCTTTTCGGGAACTAAGTGAACAGCTCTGCACATCAGTGAAAACCCAAGTCCCATGGCAGGAACCACAGGACGGGCATACCAGCAGTTTATTCAACAAACATTGGAGGCTCTTGGTGGGATAAATCATTAGCTACAGAACCCAGAAGTCACATTTCAGAAACAACTGAATATGTTGCTTGATGCAATATTTTGGAACCTTGAAGCAAACTTGCACATGATAATAGCAACACCATGTGATTTCTTTGAGACTACTGAAAGAGTTATAAGGCTTGCTTGAAGTTCTCACGAAGGAACACAAACTATCAACCCAAAGGCTCTTTTCAGAGCCACCTACAATTTGCTTGAAGTCTTCACAACAGTACTTTTGCATTTTAAAAAATGTAATTTTAAGGTGGAATTCAGGAAACACAAAACAAAACTGGCAAGGACAGGGTGGGTGGGGACACAAAACAAAAATGTTGTACATGAAAGGTCATAACAGCTTTATTTGCAAAAGCCCTAAATTAGAAACAACTTAATGTCTTTCAGTGGGTGAATGGTTAAATAGATTTTCATGCATCCATGCATGGAAGCCTACTCAGCAACAAAAGGGAGGCTGGTGATGCACACAACTGGGATGGATCTCAAGGGCATCATGCTTAGTGGGAAAAAAAAAAAAAACCACTACTGGGGAGGAAAAGTCTTCCCTTGTAGGTTCTTTGGCTGTAAACTGATATAAAAACAGATTAACAGGAGAAAATTTTAATTATGTGTGTATTGGAGCCCCATAAGAATATGAGACCCAAGGATAAGTCTGTCGGTAGATATTCATATGACCCCCTGAGCTAAAGAATGGGATAGGGACCTGGGGCTTCAAAGGGAGAGAGGGCAACCTATAGGTCTTTCAGATAAAAATTATCTCTGGTAATAGCTCTCTTTCTGGGCCAGGTCCCCTATCTAAAATTTTCTAGGTAGTTAAGGGAGAGGTAAAAGTTTTTCTTGAGTTTGCTGGGTCTTGATTGCCTTCAGTTCAAAATAACCCACGTGCCAAAGCAGCACATTTTGGGGTCACATATATTGCTCCCCCTCAAAGTCATTTTCAAAAGGTCACATGTTACATTATTCATTTAGATAACATTCTCAGAATGACACAAACCAGAGATGGATAACAGATTAATGATTGCCACAGGACAGGGAAAACGTGTATGGATGTAATATAAAGGGATAACAAGGAGTTCCTTGGTGATGTTGGAAACGTGTTGTATCAGCGCTGCTGTGGTATTTATGTGAATCTATATACGTGGGGTAAAATTGCATAGGGCTACACACACACAAAGACAAATGAGTGCATGGTAAGACCCTAAGAGTTGAAAAGCCCTGTTGTCTAGGTAACAGTATTTTGCCAATATCAATTACCTGGCTTGGATATTGCAATATACACCGGTTATGTGGGATGTGACCGTTAGAGGGATTTAGTTCAAGGGGCCTCTGGGTACTACTGTTGCAACTTAACAACAAGGTAAACTTTGCAACTACTGTTGCAAAATAACAAGGTGAAAAAAAAAAGCTGCTGGACAATTCTTTAACAATTGCTACTTTGCATTGCTGGGATTCCATGGTTTGTTTAAGAAAATAATGTGATTTTTTTTTTTCCACAAACAGCAGTTTTTTTTGCTTTCTTCTGGCTGTTCTAGTGGTGACATGCCCAACGGGCTGATGTTTGGTTCATTCATGCTGGTATGTGACGTTTTACATCTTGCTGCCCCTGCCTCAAAAGTAAATTGAATTTCAGAATTTGATATTCCTAATCTCAAATTTTCTGATGGGGTATACTTGGCCAAGCTAATCCATGCTCTTTTAGAATACTTTACTTGGTACATCGTAAGTATGCAATAAAAATCACTTCTTACTTGAAAATTCTGTTTATTCTAAGGACATCATTCATATTTTCTTAAAGCTAAACTCCCACGTAACTAGCTCAACACATATATTTTTCATTAGAGTTCACGACAGCTTTGCTTGTGTTTCACGCACTAAGCCCAGAAAAGGGCTCTCCACCTTTTGTCCTCCACAGGAGAAAAACAGGGCCTTAGCCCCTGACAATTTACACTTTTCCTCTGCAACCCTTCATTGTTGAAATAAATACGCTTAATTTGTATGGATAAAGCACACAGTACACACTAGTGTTATATTGGAAATGTTTTGAAATCCTTCCATGCTCTTCAGTCTTATATTTAAATACATTGTTTTTAAGAACGGAATTCCTGGGCGATATGAATTTATTGTTCACGAACTAGATGCCAGTCATTTTGCTTATAATTACTCACTTACCAACAACTGCTCTTCCTTCTTACTGCAAGTCTCTTGAAACTCAAGTAGATAAACAGACAAGTTCAATGTTACAGTTTGAAAGCTGCCACTCACTGATCCGAACCTGAAGCCTGGCCTGGTTGCTCCACAATATATTGACGAACTCCTTTGTTTCTTGGGATTTGGGCTTGTTTAAATTCCAGTGTAGCAAACGATCCAAGAATATATATGGAAAAGATAAATCTTTAAACACATGTACATATATACGAAGGAGGTCATTTCTTTTGTGTACATGTCTGAAACTTGTGTTTAGAGGTTCCTGTTTTCTAAATACCAGTAAATCTCCCTACCCCGTGTCTACTTTAGGCCTTAGAAGCAAGGGCGCGAGGACTTCGAGTGATTTCCTAACTTTTCCTGTGTTTTGGTTTTCACAAAGTTCTGTACAATTGTTACAAAAGGGGCTGGTATTAAGCCCCTTCGACTGTTATTCCCAGTGAGTACTTACTGTGTCTGGCCGCGGCAAGGGCGGGAAGGGCCTGGGCAAGGGCGGCGCCAAGCGCCACCGCAAGGTGCTGCGCGACAACATCCAGGGCATCACCAAGCCCGCCATCCGGCGGCTGGCCCG